GAAAGCTAAGTGGTGTAGGCTTCGTTTTTAATTGGCATAGTTACCAGGGAGGGGTTTGTTACATTTTCCAGGGGTATCTTAGTCTCTCTCATCGTGTCAGGAGCATGAGCCGATTGCATGATGGAGGTTCAGGAGAGCCTCAGCAGCTGTCTTTCTAAGATGAAACAGGGAGTGGGCCATTATTAATATTGCCAGGCCAGTTCTTTGAGCTGCACCCAGAAAAGGAGGCCTGCCAGGAGTGGGCCACGGGCTGTAAGTGAGGCACAGCTGTTCAGCATAGCACTGGATGATGTCTCTGGTTCTCCTGGATCATGTCTCTGGTTCTCCTGTCTATCCTAAGCGCTCTTCATTTATTTATTCTTGGTATTGTGTGATACGCTTAACAGGACATCTTCAAACAAGCAACTGAGGACAGGCTGACAAGTGCCAAGGAGCTGCCTTACTTTGAAGGTGATTTCTGGCCCAATGTGCTGGAAGAAAGCATTAAGGAGTTGGAGCAGGAGGAGGAGGAGAGGAAAAAAGAAGAAAGCACTGCAGCTAGTGAAACAACAGAAGTGAGTTAACTTCATATGCTGTATTTGCTTCTGGCTCACAAAGCTGACAATTAACGCTGTAATAAATTAGAGAGTTCACATCCAGTAAACTAGAAAAGAAGGTCATTCACATCAGACGTTAAATCAGGGTTCCCTTTAACTGCTTTTCTGGTTTTCTTCTTGGATAACAAATATACTGATGGCTTGTTTGTTTGTTTTTAACAGAAACAGGAGTCAGTTATGTCAGTTCAGCATCTCTGTTAGCGAAATGCATTAAGCTACTTTTGGATTGCACTGTGACTGCTACGTTTGCTTGCAGTCATTTGGCTGAGCTTCTGGTTCGCACCTTTGCAAATCACCTTTAGTATTTGTATTTTGCAAGATGCTGTGTTTTTCAAAGCTGAATTAGATTTTTTTGTTATTTAAGCAAAGGTACTTATAATCGTTGCCAACAGCAGCGGGCTGAAATTTCAAGGTATTTACTGCAAGCTTTGCATTGGTGTGAAACGTCAATCCTGATGGTGGTGGTCCTTGACCAGCATTCTCTCTTTGTATATTTTAAAAAAAAAAGGAAACCCAACAACTTTCTCAGGGTGCTGGCCAGAATTTCATTTTTATTTCTGTTTTGATTGTATCTGTGTCCAAATTTTTTATACTGTCCCTTTTACTTGTGATTTGCAGCAAGGTCTTTTGAAAATAAATAGTAGGAGAATCTGAAGTCTAGCAGATTGAGGTGGAACCAGAAACTTCTAACTGGGGAGGGACTGGGTTCAGCTTAGATGCCGTGACAATTTGCATACAGCATGTATTACATGTGATTGATGTGGAGCAATAGACCTTAATCCATTAATTTCATTATGTCAGAAAACTCCTTCTATTAAACCTTAGCAACTCCTGCAAAGCTGATACAGTTCCTTGCTATGTTTTTATGGAACCATGAGGTTAATAGTTTTCACCATGTTCCTTCTGAATGTAACTTAATATTGAAATACTTCAACAAACACAGCAGTGTACAAGTCACTGGAAGACAAGGCTTGGCATTTAAGTTGCAGTCCTCTTCTGCTAACAGTATCGCTTTCAATAAATCATAGCATGCCCTTCCAGTGAAAACACCGGTGTAAGCCTCCACATCTAAGGAGGCAAAAAAAGGTGGTTTTAAAAGCCCAGAACAGCTAACCGTGAAACTCTACAAGTTGTCTGCCTAAAGTGAGAAGATGCCCCTTTGGTTGTTAACATCCCAATGTTCCCACTTAATGCCCTTGATGTCGCTTGGGGTAGCAGGTGAACAAAATCTGCGTCCAAGTTGCTGAAGGTGTCATCCAAAAATGCAACAAAAAACGTTAACGGCCTGGCCTTTGCCACTTGGCTCGGAAAAAGGAGTGACATTAAAAGCATGAGAACTTCTCCAGTGCAGTCACCTAAACTCGTGTCGCTTTATGGAGGAAGCTATGCCCAGCAATGGGGATCTCTGCGTGTAGAAGCACTTTGCCATTTGCCTTGTGTTGAGATAGTACAGAATGCGTCATCCTTTTTTCTTAAATTCTTAGCCCTAATCTTTGTGTATGTGGAGAGAGTGCTTCTTAAAAGTCAACATGTGCTGGGTGTTACCCATTAAAGAGAGTCTAAAGAGGTGGTAAATACTCAAAAGTTCTTGAAGAAAGTTCTGAAGGGACGAGGCTCGCTGAGTAACTGTGCCATCAGCATCTCTGGCAGACCTGGCTGGGCACGTTAAATGCTATCAAAATGAAGTAGTACAAAACCCAATCTTACAGCTTCTTAAAACATTATGGAATAGCTTTGTACAATTGACCAAATACAAACTTGTTGAAGGTGGAGTCGAAAGAAAACTTAGAATTGTACTGTCAGCTTCAATCTATTCTTCCTTTTGGTGTTTAAATTCTAAAATCTATGTTGTTGCTCTAGAACACATAGGCAAAGGAGGACATGCCCAGATTCTGTCTGGGATAGAAAATTTGGGGGAAAAGAAGTCAAGATGGGAACATGCAATAGCTCGTTTCTGAATACCTTCAAATCACTTGGAGGTCTGTCTGGTTTCCCATAAAATAGTATAGTTTTAATTTCCAAACAGGTTTGGTCAAAAAGTCAGTAAAATTAGTTACAGAAAAAACAAGCCTCGACAGGGAATTTCTATCTAAGCCTAATTAATGGAATGGAAGGGTATATATCTCTCTCATATATATACCCCTATATATAGAATTGCTTTCTTCATCTGGAATATTTTTGTGTTCAGTGAATAAATAACGCTTGCGGATAAACCCTGTGTTTGCTGGTACATAGTGTTCATGAAACTTTCTCACGTGTTTGTATGTACCAGAGTATTTCAGTAGCTTATTTTTAATATCGTGATAACCAACGTTTTTACTGGGTGGCAAGCTCCCTGCTGAGGGCTTGGGTTTTTATTTTTCAAGGACATGAGAAGTCTGAAAGTTATTTCTGTTTTCACAGGTCATCTAAATAGCATCATCTGCTATTTTTTACTCTTTACTTACACCTAGTATTTGGTATATGGTCACTGTGGTCTGTGTGTTATAACTTAAACACGAGTGAAGGTTTGGGGGATTATTCTGGAGTTGCATATGCAGCAGTAAGTCTTCAGGATGGAAAATAATGTATTTTATTAGTTTCAGATCCTGCATGTTCTTATTTGTGTACTAGCCCTACATTTGTTCAATAAAAACAAACAAAATCAGCTCAAAGCTCAAGCAAGCATGTGAAACCCCAAATGCACAACAAAGGAAAACACTACACTTCTGGAATTCTTTTAAGCCCATTTTATTTGTAACTCATTCTATCATCAAATATCTATAAGGTCTTGTAAAGCAAGCAGTAGAAGCTGAAGTACAGTGCTTGAGAAGGAAAAAAATCAGTGTAAGATACGAATTATTTAATGTATATGCATACTTTAAAAATCTATTTTTAAACAGCGTTTGAATTTGTTTGCCTGCCAGTTCGATTTTTCCTGGAAGATAGGATATTTTTAACACAGGATGGCTGATTTGCAGGCATTGGAACAGAGTTCTGTTATTGACAGCAGGAAAGTTTCACTTTCAGCTACAGTGAATGGAAGAGAGCTCTATAAAGTGTAACATCGTTCCGATTCATTTATTGCAGGGAAGCCAGGGCGACAGCAAAAACGCCAAGAAAAAGAACAACAAAAAAACCAACAAGAATAAGAGTAGCATCAGCAGAGCTAACAAGAAGAAACCCAGCATGCCAAATGTGTCCAATGATCTGTCTCAGAAGCTGTATGCCACTATGGAGAAGCATAAAGAGGTACTGTCAAAATACACTGTGTAAAGAGAAGATTTTATTCCCGTAAATCCAGGCATGATGGTAGTCGGAGCTGAAAAATCAGGAGTAAAGCCTGTGATTACGCTCGAACTGTTGTTTAACAGCGTATTGGAAGAGATTAGCCTAAACTCCGTTAATTAGATAACATTTGTAGCACGCCATTACTGCAACAGAACACGAGCTTTTTTCCTGCAAGATTATCTAACATCATTGATTTTATTTATTTTTTTTTTTTTCCCTCTCCCCCATTTATCCGCAGGTCTTTTTTGTGATTCATTTACATGCTGGGCCTGTAATTAATACTCTGCCTCCCATTGTGGACCCTGATCCATTACTTAGCTGTGATTTGATGGATGGGCGAGATGCCTTCCTCACCTTAGCCCGAGATAAGCACTGGGAGTTCTCCTCACTACGCCGATCCAAGTGGTCCACGCTCTGCATGCTGGTAGAACTACATACTCAAGGGCAGGATCGCTTTGTCTATACGTGCAATGAGTGCAAACATCATGTGGAAACAAGGTGGCATTGCACTGTCTGTGAGGTAGGTGTCTATCACCAGAGACTTTTGCTCCTGTTTGCCCTACAGCCAATCTTGATTTTTTTGATTTTTTTTTATTTTTTCTGTTGCCCAGAGTTCCTCCAACTTAAGCCTATCTTGATAAAAGGGTTGCTAAGCCTTAAGGAAAGGTGACTACCACAGTGGGGTATCTCTTCTTTTAGAATCAGTGCCTTCACAATTTCTCAACGTGGAAATGCCAGTACTCTGGAACGGCTACTGCTGCATCTTTTATTCCACTATGGTTCCTCTGCATAGATGAGTTTTTAACTTAGTTTTAAAGAACTTTAGGACTGGGTGGTAAGGTTTGACTGCGTCAGACTTGTCCAAATCTGCAAGGTAGTAGCTCACCCACGTTAAGTGGGTGTCCACGAGAGAGGTTAGCATACCTTCCTGCAGGATAGCTTTCGTTCCTCTTTGTATGTTGTGAGGAGCGCAGCCGGGCGCGTGTCCAGGCTGCCGCAAAGGTGGGTGAGGAGGCTGCCGCAGCTCTTCAGCATTCGGCCCAGCATTAGAGGTTGCCTGCCCTTCAGATAGCCCAAATAATTGCTTCCTAACCTGGCTTGATGCTTTTAATGACTAGCCCTTCTGCAGCATAGATCACTTCCACTGAACTGTGTTAGAGAGCAATTATGCATGGACTAATACCAGTGGACTTGAGGAGAAGGTAGCTTCTACAGGGCTTGTGATGACCTCTGGCTGTAGCTGAACAAAAAAAAAAATTTGAGTAAGCGCAGTCTTGTTTTTACACTGCAAGTTATTGCCAGGCTTGTGGTGGAACAGTCTTAATGAATCCCTCTGAGGAAAGCATTGAACAGGGCTTCTTGAGGCAAGACTGGAGGAAATGGATCCTACACACTAGGGAAATTAAGCGGTGGAAGGAGGTATGGCCTTTAGGTTTCTTCTGGGCACGTCCGTATGAGGGAGTGCCCTTCCTCCAGCAAAAAAGGACCAAGCAGTGAAAACCTGGGTGTTTGAGCAGGTTTTCAGATCAGTGTCTGTCTTAGCATGAAACACACTTGATTTGAAGGTCAATTTAGAGATTAAAAAAATACATATATTTCAGGGTAGTAATTATTAGTCAGTGATGGTACTCGGAATAGCTAAATGGAGAGCCAAACCCTATTTTTTAGGCAGTGGCAGTAGGTTTGTCTTATTAGTTGGAGGTTTTGGTCCTCCTTACATAGGTGCCTCAGTAGACATCACAGAAAAGTAAGCAGTTCCTGTCATTGAAAGGGAAAAACAAACAAAAAAATGAAACCAAATCCTGCAAGACTTTTTCATGTAATAAAAGGAAGACACAATTACAGCCCCTGTTGGCGTTGTTACCCACCGTAGGCAAGACTTGGGACTGCAGGCTCGCTTTGCTGGGGCAGCCGACGTGGCTTCTGCCCTCAGCTGCCCAACACTCCCTGCCCCAAAGGTAAATTGAAACGGGCAGTTGTTCACAGCGCGTGGCTGTTGTCCTGCTTCTGTTCCACTCTGTGTTTGTACCCACTGAAACCCAAAGTGTGCCTCCACACCAGGCTCGTGTTGCTCACCTAGCACCGCTCTTGCTGTTCTGCTCTTTTGCTGGTGTAGGAAAATGAACCCTGGGTTTTCTTTGCTTTCAGGACTACGACCTCTGCATTAACTGCTACAACACTAAGAGCCATGACCACAAGATGGTTAAGTGGGGCCTGGGTCTGGATGATGAGAGCAACAGCCAAGGAGAGCAACAGTCAAAGAGCCCCCAGGAGTCGCGACGACTGAGCATCCAGCGCTGCATTCAGTCCCTTGTCCACGCCTGCCAGTGCCGCAATGCAAACTGCTCATTGCCATCCTGCCAGAAGATGAAACGGGTTGTCCAGCACACCAAGGGCTGCAAGCGCAAGACCAACGGTGGCTGTCCGGTGTGCAAACAGCTCATAGCTCTTTGCTGCTACCATGCCAAACACTGCCAAGAGAACAAATGCCCTGTGCCATTCTGTCTCAATATCAAACACAAACTTCGACAGCAGCAGATCCAGCATCGCCTGCAGCAGGCTCAGCTCATGCGCAGAAGGATGGCTACCATGAACACCCGAAACGTGCCTCAGCAAAGTTTGCCTTCTCCTACCTCAGCAACGCCTGGTACCCCTACACAGCAGCCAAGTACACCGCAAACACCACAGCCTCCTCCCCAGCCCCAGCCTTCCCCTGTAAGTATGTCACCGGCTGGCTTTCCCAGTGTGTCGAGAACTCAGCCCCCTACTACTGTTTCAACAGGAAAACCTGCAAACCCGGTTTCCGCACCTCCACCTCCGGCTCAGCCTCCGCCGGCGGCGGTGGAAGCGGCTCGGCAGATTGAGAGAGAAGCTGCCCAGCAGCAGCAGCAGCTCTACAGGGTCAACAACATTAACAATGGTTTGCCTCCTGGTCGCCCAGGACTAGTAAACCCGACGGTGGGTTCAGTGAACCAGATGCAGCAAGTCAGCATGAATGTACCCCGGCCCAACCCCGTAAGCGGTCCAGTGATGTCCAACATGCAGCCTGGACAGTGGCAGTCACCTCCAATGCCGCAGCAGCAACCCATGCAGCCGGGAATGGCAAGACCGGTTATCTTGAAATCACCGAGTTCTCCGCAGCAGCAACAGCAGGTTCTTAATATCCTTAAATCCAACCCTCAGCTTATGGCAGCTTTTAAAAAGCAAAGAACAGCCAAATATGTGGCTAACCAGCCTGGGATGCAGCCGCAAGCGGGCATACAGCCCCAGCCTGGGATGCAGCAGCCGCAGACCGGCATGCAACAGCCAGGCATGCACGCTCAAGCAGGATTGCAGAACATGAACGCGATGCAAGCAGGAGTGCAGAGACCGAGCGTTCCTCCCCAGCAGCAAGGGATAGGAGCTATGAACCCCCAGGGACAAGCGATAAATATTATGAACCCCGGCCACAACCCCAGCATGGCAAACATGAGCCCGCAGTACAGAGAAATCCTGAGGCGGCAACTACTGCAGCAGCAGCAACAGCAGCAGCAGCAGCAGCAAGGAGGGGCTGGCATGGCAGGAGGGATGGCAGGACACAACCAGTTCCAGCAGCCTCAAGGACCAGGAGGTTACCCTCAAGCCATGCAGCAGCAGCGGATGCAGCAGCATATATCGATACAGGGGGGTTCCATGGGACAGATGGCTCAGATGGGACAGCTGAACCAGATGGGCCAGCCCGGCATGGGGGCCGACGGCACTCCCAACATCCAGCAAGCGCTGCAGCAGCGGATCCTGCAACAGCAGCAGATGAAACAGCAGATAGGGTCCCCCGGCCAGCCTAACCCCATGAGCCCACAGCAGCACATGCTCTCAGGACAACCGCAGGCGTCTCATCTCCCTGGCCAGCAGATCGCCACCTCCCTCAGCAACCAGGTGCGGTCCCCAGCACCCGTTCAGTCTCCCCGTCCCCAGTCCCAGCCACCACATTCCAGCCCGTCACCCAGGATACAGCCCCAACCGTCACCTCACCACGTCTCTCCCCAGACTGGTTCCCCCCACCCAGGACTCGCAGTTACTATGGCTAGCTCCATGGATCAGGGACACTTGGGCAACCCAGAACAGAGTGCAATGCTTCCACAACTAAACACCCCGAACAGGAGTGCGTTGTCTAACGAATTGTCTCTGGTCGGTGACACCACCGGGGACACATTAGAAAAATTTGTGGAGGGTTTGTGGCATTATGTGAGCATCACTTTTTTTTTTTTTTTTTTTTTTTTTTTTTTTTTTTTTTTTTTTCTCCTTTCGTGTTCTTGGACATTTTGTACTGAAAATTCAGACATCTGGGTTGTTTTGAATCCTAGATGGAACTGCTGCTTCCTACACATGGAAGAATGAATTGCTGTTTAAAAAAAAAGAAAAAAAAAAAAAAGAAAAAAAACAAACAAAAAAAAAACCAATACAAAGAATATATTTTTTTGTTAAAGCCAGGCGGTTAAAATATCTGGTCTCTTTTGTGGGTTTTTTTGGTTTTTATTTTTTTGTTGCTGTTGACTCATACCTTTTTTTTAAACGGGGAAAACAAGTTCATTATATTCATATTTTTTATTTGTATTTTCAAGACTTTAAACATTTGCGTTTAAAAGAAGAAAAAAAAATAATATTCAGAAACTGTTTCCTGAAATAATGCAACATTATAATGTATCCCGGTAACTTTGAAACGTTGCGGGAAGATTATTTTTTTTTTTTTTTTTTTAACTCTGCAGGCGTTTGAAGTATTCCCCCTGGAAAGATAGGAATTGACTCTTGCACACAAAAACCACACATTGGCCAACGCCATACCCCTTTGTCTTGCAGATGTAGAAATTGTTGCTTTGTTTCTCTGATAAAACTGGTTTTAGATGAAAAATAGGGGTGATCACTCTTAGACCGTGCTGGTTTGAATAGAGAAGAAGCATTCTTTTCTTTCTTTCTTCTGTGTGAAACTTGAAATGAGGAAAAGCAATTCTAGTGTAAATCATGCAAGCGCTATAATTACTATAAATAAGAGAAAATCCAAGAAGATTCAATCACTGTATAGAATGGTAAAAAAAAACAAAAAACAAAAAACAAAACCAACTCATTTCTTACTTATAATATCATATTGTTAAATAAACTGTGTGCAACAGACAAAAAGGGTGGTCCTTCTTGAATCCATGTACATGGTATTAACACTTCGTGTTTGGGGTTTTTGTTATGAAAATGCTGTTTTCAACATTGTATTTGGACTATGCATGTCTTTTTTCCATTGTATATAAAGTATTGCTTAAAATTGATATAAATTACTGAAGTTTTTAACATGTATTCTGTTCTTTAAAATCCATGTAAGAATGTTTAAGGTTTTTATTTATTTATATAATTTTTTCTTTTCTTTTTTTTTTTCTTTTTTCTTTTTTTTTTTTTTTTTTTTGTTATT